AGTAAATATGTTTTTAGGCTATTAAGCTGGTATTTTGTCGTGAATTTGATATAGCTGCATTAGATGAATTTCATCTTTAAACACTCAGAAATAATAAACATACGTTTATAATATAATTATGGAATATATAGGAAAAGATACATTTTTCGAAAACTGTAAACAATCATCCATGTCCTACATGCTGCACTTTCGTAGGAGAAGTGTCGTACCCGATATTGAAAAGTATAAATTTGTTGCAGGTTAACACGAGTTTGCTAAAATATAGCCAACATCTAACTAACTTTCGAAACAAAAACGTAATTGTAACGTGAAAGTTTTGTTAGTATAGACTATAGAATACTTACTTAAAATATTCAATTTTCTAACGTTATTTTGAACAATGGCTAGGTACAAATAAATTAAAATATTAGTATTAATTTGGCCTTGSTTCAACGCCTAATTCAACGTTCCTAAAAGACAACAAAAATTTTKCTGAATTGAAAATGCCAACTTTGAACTTGTAGTATTTGAAATGATTTTTTTCTAAGGCAGATTTTATATTATGTTAGTTGTTGACTGTCGTGTATTTAATTTGAGTAATATGTATAGACTATATAATAGGTTACTAACACTAATAATAATAAATCAACAAATTTGGGCTGACAATAATATAAAATGGACTGTATTATGATATTTCCTCACACAACATAACAATATAACATGAATTGAATATATACATTATAAATAATAATAATAATAATAATCACATATGCAGGTAGGGATGTAGGCGCACATCTACCATACAATATGAATATTGGACCAATCACTTATCACCCGAAAATAATWATAATAAAATAGTAAGRCCGTAATTATAATGATACAATAAACGCCACAAAGGTTATAATACCAAAATATTGATGTAATATCAAAAAAACATAATATCTATACAAATAATAATGGGATAATATGGATTATAGATAAACACCATGTATCAAGTATTATGATACTTARTTACTGATTATTGTCGACCGATCGATCGCCCACATGACTTCATATAAATKTATGACAAAGACCACCCCGACGTCTGCTYGACTCGTTCAGGTCCCKCGACCCACACGYTCATGGCTGCTCGAATGTCCGACGCCCTTTTGGTAACCGATTGGATCGCACCCACGCACGATCACTATTGACTCGCTCGTTTCTCCTTACGTACGCCTTTTAACGGTCATTGCACCATAGGCGTCACTA